CAGTGGCTAGTTCCACTTGCAGATTATCACTAAGGTGCTTTTCCTTAAGGCAGCCCAACCATTGCATTTCAGTACGCCCCAGAAGTGCTGTATGCATGCCTACATTTTGTTCCACATATTATTTAAAAAATGCGTACTTGAGGGTCAAGATTTAATCAGATTAATAATTTTTTATTGCTTTATTAAGGGCCATAAGTGAAACTGGCTTTTTTCCCCTGCCAGTGCATGGTGGTGAAGAATACAGTGGTTGCTACTACAGATTGGTATCACTGCCCTGATTCATATTAAGAGGCCTGCAGTTTTATCCACCACTGCTTTTGCTTCATTATGTAAATATCAATAGAGTAAACAGAGCAAAAAAATGTTAACATGATAATGAAAGGAGTTTTGACTTCACAGACCCTCTGAAAGGGTCACAGGGACCTCCAAGGGTTGATGAGCCATGCTCTGAAAACCGCTGATCTGGTGTTAATCCGTTTTGAGAACAGGTAGGAGTTAGCATAAATAGCAGCAACTTAAAAAATGTAAGCTGTAGCTATATTCCTTTACCTTTTAAGTTTTTTTTTGTTTTATTTATTTATTTATTTGGGGACTTGGGGGAGGGGAGCAGTGTTGGGAAATTGGGGAGAGGGACCAGCCAAGTTGATCTTCAGTCTTAGTTATGGAGGGTGCCAGTCGCCATCTGGCTGCCCATCGGCAGCTCGTGGCCTCTAAGTTCAAGGTGCCGTGTTACAATCTTAGTTGCGGGTGGGCATAGCCACCATCCCATGCAGGAGTTGAACCAGCAGCCTTGTTGTTAAGAGCGCACACTCTATCCACTGAGCCATCCGGGCGGCAGCTCAGCTCAAGTTACTGAGTTTAGTTTTAGTTGTGGGTGGGCATAGCCCACCATCGAATAGGCAGTCTTGTTGTTAGGAGCACGTGCTCTCACCAGCTGAGCCATCCTGCCACTTATTGGCAGCTCAGTGGCAGCTCAGTTCGGGCGCAGCGTCACTGGCCCATGTGGGAATCGAACCGGCGGCTCTGTTCCTCAGAGCTCGTGCTCTTAAGCTAACTCTTAAACCAACTGAGTCACTTGGCCGGCCCCCTGTCTTTTAAGTTTTGATCTTCAGACTTTCTTGGACTGTATGTAGGTCTTCTAATTAAGGGAAGTTTTTAAGATAAAGAGTATTATTTATGTAATCATAAGTTGTAAGTTTATTCATAAAAATTACAAATAATTGTGAGCTATGCTTAACAAGTCCTTTCTCGTCAATAACACCATGAATTCCTTTACATTTTGTTCATTCAAATTTTACAACATCCCTGTGGGTATTATCTCTTAATGTTATCTTTGTTTAATAGATTAATTGACAGACTAAGTGTCCTTCCCAAAATCACACAGTGGAAATATTAATAGATACATGATTTGATTTGAGTCTACAGTGCTCATTATAGTTCTTGCTGCCATCCACTGAAACATGACATAATACAAAGAAAGCGTAAATTCAGAGTTGGATGAAATTTGGTTGAAAGCCTTCCTTCTCCATTTACGTTGTGACACTAGACACGTTATTTACTGTCTCCAATCTTGATGAGGACACTAGTCCTCCTCAGTAATAGCATTTACTTTATAGAAATGTGAATATTAAATGAAATAAACCTTGTAAAATACATTTCAGTGTGCCTAACATACTAAGTGTGCATTAAATATGTTTTTCTTTTCTACTTATTCGCGACAACTATTTTTTCTTTTTGCCTTAAATATTCCTTCACTTTTTCTCTAACGTTTCTTTCCCTCTTCTCAGTGCATTCTTTTTTAAAGGACTATTGTACTAGATAAGCACATAGTACAAAGATGGAAAGTCTTTGTACATTTATTAGACCATCCATTGGTTTCAGAAAGAATGGAAGTTGGAGAAAGACCTATATATCTACTTTAAATATGTGGAGTAAAATTAAAACACCATATTGTATATATATGCTATGTATTGCTCAAAATTAATTATTGATTTCAATATTTTGACTCTTTCTTGTTATATTTTTAAAATGTCCTGTTAGAATCCAAAACAGCCGATCTTTCAACAGATGAAGAGAACGGAACACATCATTCCTCAGAAAGTAAGGATGACCAGAATTCATCTCCCGATAGCTCTAGCTCTCTGGAAGAAGAATTTTCATCAATAGGTTGGTAATTTTGTGATTTTGTTTAAAAACTCTAATACAGTATTTCCTATACCAGTGATCTTATTATTGCTAGCACAGCAAACTGTAGTGAAGTATGGGGCAAGTAAGTCATTACTGATGATTGCCAGTGTGCCAAAATTGCTCATTTCCATTACATAACATGCTCACTTTCAGACAGCTTGTAAGAAATAGAGCTAAGATTCAAACCCAGGCAATCTGGTCCAGTGCCTATGTTCTTAACCACTGTACTGTATTGGGTGATTCGTGCCAATATCTGAAGGATAGTAAGAATCTGTCAGTGAGGAAGTTTCAGGTACAGGATGTAACATATATGAAACTCTAGGGAAGATAACATAGCATGTATACACAACTAAAAGTAGTTGTTGGACTGAAAATATTTGATTGGAGTTTAAGAAAGAGGAACAAAAAGCAAGCAAGCAGAGGGACAAATTGGAGTCAGATAATACAGGGCTTGGGAGGAACTACTGAAAATTATATGTTAACTTGATGACATGGCCATTTCTAGAAAAATCAGTCCGGTTCAGGAGTTGGCAAATTACCTCCTGTCCTGTGAGACCTACTTTTGTAAATAAAGTTTTATTAAAACACAGCCATGCTCATTCAATTATGTATTTTCTGTGGATGCTATTGCACTACAATGGCAGGATTGAGGAGTTCACAGAGACTTCATGGCCCACAAAGCCAAAAATATTTATCTGGCCTTTTACTCTAGCTCACGGGTTCATAATTGTGCTGTGGATTCTTTTCAGTCTCTTGAAACCTAAGACCCTTCTGAGAAAATAAAGTAAAATACATAGCTGTATAAAGGAAACAAATGAATCGGAAATATAATTGTCAAAATACATTTTAAAAGACTTATAGTAGTAATTCATTAACTTAATAAATAACAAGAACCAGTAGCTCTTATAATTTTTTTCTTATACAAGTTCCTAAGGTGCAGATATTTAGTGATGAAGCCAATATTAACAATTGAAGCCTAGCAGAGAAGTGAGGTCTTGTGTAGACTCGAGATACAGTACTGTCCAATAGAACTTTCTGTGATGATAAAAATTCTGTATCTTCACTATCCAGTACATTAGCTGCTAGCCACATGTGGCTATAGAGCTCTTGAAATGTGGCTAGTGCAAATAAGGAACTGGATTTTTCATTTTGCTAAATTTAAATAAGTCACGTATGGCTAGTGATTACCAAATTGAACAGTGCTGCTGTAGAAGATGGTGGATTAGACAGCGTCAGTCAGTAGTTGTAAAGTGTTGGCTGCACTGTGCACCTAGGGAGAGAAGGCAGGGTTTGGAAATGTGTGGGGTACTTTGTAATTATCATAGGGACTGAGGTGTTGCTGGCATGTAGTGAGTGCCCTGGAAGCAGCGATGATAAATGTCTTGCAGAGGGCAGAACAGCAGTGAAGAATTGTCCCTCCTCATGGCTGCTTTGAGAAACACTGGTTGAAAGTTGAAAACCTGTCCCGTGAAGAACACTTTGTTTTCTTCTCTTTTCTGGAGGAGAAAAGATGAAAGAGGAATGTGATAAGTTTAAGAACTGGTATGTGGAAGAAGGAGTACACTCATTTTCTGTTGAATGATCCAGTAGAATATCTGTCTTGAGATGTTCACTGTTGTAGAGACTGCCTGTTACTAATGAGGCATGATATATAACCTCTTCTCCTTAGATAGGATGATGCATGTGAAAATTATTTATGAGTTATAAATCTATAAAAACACGTTTTATTATTATAAAGCAGTATGCTTAATGTTGTTAATTAATCCCATGTCTGCCCAACATCTGCTATGTGCGAAACCTTGAGCTAGGTGTTGGATATAGAGAGGTCAGGGTAGCGTACTCTGTTGAATTTTTACTTCTGTTTTGTAGCTTGAGAGGATTACCTTTATGTAGCACAAGTATCTCACTAGTGAGTGTATTCCTTGTGATTAATTAAACCCTACCAAGTCATTTGCAGGTGAACCATTTCCAATTCAAGTATTTCTGTTTCTATATTCATACACTTGACTATTTGAACCAGAGTATATCATCTTAACCCAGCTGCACATTAAAATCCCCTGCTCCACCTCAGACCCTCTGAATCTCTGGGCTGTGAGCCTGGGTACCAGCCTCCCAGGTGATTCTAATGTGTAGCCAGGATCAAGAAATGCCAAATGTAACTTTGTGATGGTTTTGAATTTTAATTCTGCTTTAGGTTATATTAGCTATATCTCTCAGCTTTAAAGACATGTCATGTTGTCTTCAGTCACGTCACAATAAAATCACTAAAATAGACAAGACAAAAATGCAGAACCCTCTCACAGATCCCTACATTGCTTCATAATCAACATTTTTTTGGGGGGGTAGTAATTCAACCAGTTAAGAATCCTGTGCACTGTGATTCCCCCACATACTTTAACATTATCCACAAGGAAAACATGCAGCTGTTAAATGCTTTAGGAGGATGAAGAGACACCTGACCTATATAATTTTTCTGATACTAGTCTGTGAATAACACTAGTCTATAAAAAGCAAATCATTTGATTTGATAGTCGATGTTTTTAATGAGCATATATTGGTTTCTAGTGATTGCCACCTACTGCTTGATAATTAATTCAAGCACTTTTTCTTTTCCTTGGGACTGGTATCAAGTACATTGGTCTGTGATTTCTGCAATCTCTTTTTTTCTTTTTCAAAAATTGGAACATTTCTGCATTTCCAGGCATATCACATTTTTTTCTATGCATATCCTAAAGAATTTAGACCAATTTAGGGAAAGGTTAGAAAATTTTACTTGAGCCTCAGTGACTTAACACCCCTAATTAATATTTTGAAGTGCTTGAAATGGTGAAAATTTCTCTTGCCTTTTTGTTTACCTTAGTGTTTTACTTGACAAACCATTTTTTCGCAGAATGTAAAGATATATTTCATCTTAGATTATGCATGAAGAAACTTGTTTTGAATTGGAAGAATCCATATTAATGAGGTTTATACTGTATAAAATAAAGGAAAAAATAGAACAGGGCTCTATTAAAAGATGTCACACAAATATTTTTCACCTAGTAAATGAACCTATTTCTTTTACACTTTTTAACCTCTCACATTTATTCACAAGTGAATCAGCACAGGACTTTGAAGGCTGACTTGGCTGTGTGCTGTTTCTCACTATATGCCTGGATGCCCAAAGGAGAGGAGTGGAGCGTAGTATAGTGTCCCTCTTACTTTGCGTGTCAGACTGGTCTGTCACCCATGATGCTAGCCTCTACAGTTCTCACTGACTGAGCGATGTCATGCTCAGCTCTCTCCACATCCTACCCTGACAACCTCAGAGCTTCTGGAAATGAGAATTAGCTACTAGCCCTCAACAAAAAGTCAGTAACAGTGTCTAATAAATAAGAGAGTTAAAAGATAAATTACAGTGGTTTCAATATATTTTCTAATCAATAATAGATTTGGTTCTTTAATCCCTATCAAAATAATTTTCTTCCATTACTAATATAGATTTGAAGCCACTTAGTTACATTCATTTCAAAATAGTGAAAAAATTTGAAAAACTGTGTCTTTTTTTCTTTAAATGTGAGGAATATTTATGTCTGTTGATGCTTGGTTTTTAGTGTCCTCTTTGTTTCTTTCAGTAAATATCCCTGATGAAGCTTTTATTCGGGCAGCCCGCAGAAAACGTGAATTAGCTAGGGCCCAAGAGGACTATATTTCTTTGGATGTAAAACATACTGCAACCGTCTCTGGTATAAAGAAAAGCAGTGATGAAGCTCCTGACAGTGAGCCTGATGACCATGAAGAGAGAATACTATTTACCCCAAAGCCTCAAACACTTAGACAAAGAATGGCTGAAGAAACAAGTACATATTTAACTTATTTACAATATATGAATATTAAGGCATCTATATTAGAATATAATATAAAATCTCCATGAAAACTTAATGTGGTGTTTTCATATTCTAAAGGGTGTTCAAGTTGGTTTTTATTCCAATTTGGTCAGTGACATGGCCTCTGAAACATGTCTATATCAAATATTATCAAAGAGCATATAAAATAATGTTTACTGTTTGATTTCCACTTGATCTTTTTGACAGGTTAAAAAAAATTTATAGTCTTTTGATATTGAAAACTTTCATTGTTACTTATTACATAAAGTTTTTTTTTAACGTGGAAGTGTCTACAGAGATTTTAGGTATCATGTATAAATCTTCCCTGTTATAATTATTTTCTTAACCAATAATCTTTAGTTCTCAAAGAATAATTTTCACATTGCTCATTTATAAATAATAATATGTTTACCAAAAGTTTTGTCATTTCAAGTAGTATTTCAGAATGAGACTTGGTTTTGTATAACCCAGAAATTATTGTTAAATATTTAGATTCTCAGGTATAATTGAGAAACTCTGATAAGGAAAACCAAATGTTTCATCTTTTCCAAGCATTTTTCATTAGTCTATAGTGTTTTGAATGGGATAGTTTGGTGATGAACGCAGTTTCTCGAATCAGATTGCTGGATTCAAGTCCCAGCTTCAACACAGTCCTCAGACAAGTTAACCTTCTAATATCTGAGTTTCCTAATTTATAAAATGAGGGTGATAATATTGTCTTCTTCCCAGAATTATTGTGAAGAATAAGTTGACATATGTAAAGGTCTGCTAAGCCAGAACAATATAAGCCTCCCCAAAAATGTTAGCTGCTACTATTAGAATGGAAAAAATACTGAATGTTTATACATGAACTTTTTTTTACCCTAGCAACTAGAAATGAAGACACAAGTGACGAAAGCCAGGAAGATGAAAATCAAGATATTTGGGAACAGCAGCAAATGAGGAAAGCAGTTAAAATCACAGAGGTAATAATTTTTTATACCATGTGTATTTGTTTCCTGTGACTCTGTAACAAATTACCACAAACTTGATGGCTTAAAAGAAGAGCCATTTATTCTCACAGTTGTGGAGGCTAGAAGTATGAAATGAGAGTGTTGGCTGGGCTGTGCTCCCTCTGAAACCTCGAGGGGAGAATCCTTGTTTGCCTTTTCCAAGTTCTGATCACTCCCAGTGTTCCTTGCTTTGTGACTGCATTACTCCTCTGACTCCATCACATGGCCTTCTCTGTGCCTCTCCTCTGTGTCTCTCATCAGGACACTTGTTGCTGAATGTAGGGTCCACTTGGATAATCCAGGATGATCTCATCTTGAGATACTTCACTTAATTACAATTACCAATGCCCTTTTCCCAAATAAGGTCATGCTTGCAAATTCCAGGGATTAGAACATAGGCATATCTTTTGGGAGGCCACCACAGTAACTAGGTTATAAACACCTTCCACGTATTATAAACCACTTGAGGACCATATCTTTTTTGTCTTTAATGGAACAGTAGCTGACAGTATATATTGTATGGTAAGTATAAATGTGAAGTTTAAAACAAAACTCAGGAACAAAAAGAATATTGTACTTGGGATCAAAAGTCCTGGATTTGGGTTCTGGCACTATCACTAAAACATATGCTCCATGAGGGTAAGAATTATTAACTGTTTTGTTCAGTGGTATATCCCACAGTGCCTCACATTGTGAGTGCGCCACAAATATTTGTATGCCTTAGAACAAATCATTTAATTTTTGTATATCTCAATTTTCTCATCATTAAAATGCGAATGATAATGTTACCTACTTGAGTAGGCTGCAGTGCTCAAAATTATAATGATCCTAAATCAAAGTGCTTATAAATTATTTAATAGTATACATACAGATCTAAGGCTTCATTGAATCTTTTTAATAAGAATGCGTTGAAAGAATATTTGTTCTTTTAAGTAAGAAAGTATCGTATAATCTCCATGTTATTAAAACTAAAAAACTAAAGGTAGGCCTTTGGTTGTAATTTAAAACTCTGACCAGAAAAATGAATCGTGACTATATTTATGACTATAGCAGGCTTAGATTGCACCCACCCCCTTTTAGTAAAATCAGTAGAGCAACAGCATTAAAAAAAAAAAATACTTTGAGAAAAAATATGCCACAGTTCTTACTCTAACTGCTCAAGTTTGTGTAATTACTTTTTATTTGAAGTATTGGTTTAATTGCAGTCATAGTTCTCAAAGCATATGTCAGAAGTTCCCAAACTTTTCCATACATGGAGCCCTTAGTGTCCCTATAATTTTATCATGGAGCCCGTAGGCCAAAAGAAGTTACCAAACAATTCCATTTATTTAGTAGTTAGGCCCAAAGAATTTAATAAGATTTATGTCCTGATGACTTAGTAGCCATTTGGAAAAAATAATACAGATAAATTGAAGAGAAAGACTTTCATTTTTAAGCAACTATAGCTACTTAATAATGGGATGTGTGTACCTGTTGGATGCTGCATGAACTCTCAGACACTGGAATCAGATTGGAGGCTACCATCATCATCTCTTGTTCCACACTGAATTTCAGTCATTACTTGCTTTTTATCATAGCGTCTGCCAAAAACCCAGCTTCACTAATAAGACTTCATGAAAAGAAATGTAGCACAATCTAATGTTGCAACTGTGAGCTAATTATAATTAGGACTAGTAGTAGTCCAACAAATGTTGAGTATTGTTGTGTTTCCCTACAAAATTTAAAATATCTCATACCACCCTTTTGAGTTCACTGGGAAGCCTTGGCACAGTTTGGGACAATATGCATTTGGGACAGTATCCACAATATGCATACAATTTTGAATCCTGATTTCTTTGCTTGACATGTTATAAATATTTTCCCATTTCTACATAGTTATAATAGTAACTAATTTAAAAGTGGCATAATAATTATTGGAGTCAATGAATCATGATTTTCTTAGCCATTCTTCCTTTTGGTAAACATGTTCGGTTATTTGGAATCTGAATTTTTTTTCTTCTTAAGAATTGGTAAATGCTTGTTTACCTTTTTGTTCCCTTCCTTTTTTTTCTTTCTTTTATTCAAATGTGTGTTTTGAACTATTCTCTTAGAATGACGGCCAAGAGTGGTATTACTAATAAAGGAGATGAACATTTTTATGGCACTTACTAAATATTTCTCTGTTGCTTTCTAAAGAAAATTTAGATCAACCTGTAATGCTACCAGTATTATGGGAATGTTTCACCACAATCTTACCAGCTTTAAGTACGAATTTAGTCGGAATCTCAAGTTTAAATGGAATCTCAAACTGTTTGATTTGCATTTTTATTACTAATGTGGGTGCATTTACTGTTTCCTTTATTGAAGATTTGCCACATGCCACTGTACTTTTCTGTGACTGCTGTACCAAGTTACCACAAACTTGGTGGCTTAAAACAACAGCAATTTTTTTTCTCACACTTCCGGAGGCCAGAAGTCCAAAGCCAAGGTGCTAGTAGGGCTACACCTTCTAAAAGCACTCGAGGATGACCCATTCCTTGACTCTCTTAGCTTCTGGCGGCTCTTGGCATTGTTTGCCTTTTAGCTACATCTGTCTCTACTCCATCTTTGTATCATCTCCTTTTCTTGCATCCCAGAACTTCCTCTCCCTCTCTCTTATGTGGGTATGTATACTCACACTTAGGGCCCTTGTAGATAATTCGGGATCATCTCCTCCTCTCCAAATCCTTAACTTAATCACATCTTTTGCCATATAAGGTAGTAGTCACAGGTTTGGGAGATTAGGACATGCACATATCTTTTTGACATCACCATTCATCCTCTACAGCCTCTTAACAGTGATAAGCACTAGAATATACAATCTTTGCAGAGGAGAGACAGCTAAACAAAATGATTATAGTGAAGTTTTATAGTTCCTATTACAGAACTGTGTACAGGGTCCTGAGATGGTACAAAAGAGCAAATGAGTGGTGAGTTTTATAGTTTGGAAGGTGAATGGGGAGGTTTAGAAAAGCCTCAACAGAAATGGTCGTATTTGAATGGGTCTTTGAAAGATGTTTATGAGGTAAGGAAGCTGAGAGAAAATAAGATATCAGAAGTAAAGACATAAGATTTGAAATAGTCCGATTAGTTTAGGGATTTGCAGGTATGATTGGAGCTCGATGGAATTGATAGGAGAAATGATGGTGCCTCATGGAAAATATAAAAGGGGTAGTTAAGCTAATGAGTTGGCTAATTACCTGGTCTACCTCTTCACATGTCCTTGCCTAAAGCAGGTTCTTTAGGACGTTTTTAACATTCTAAGCATTGTGGTGATGAGCTGTGATTAGCCAGAGATAGTAATATGAAGTATACCATGTTCTACAAAATGTATTAGTTAGGAATGCGTTCCTCTGCAAGTAACAGAAAACACAAATAATAGTAGCTTAAACGAAATTTAAAAGCTTTACCTAGAAACCCATCAGCAGACTTCCATTTAGTTTTTTTTGACTGTCTAGTGGAGTTAGTCAACTAGTAGGTGGCAGCTTCTATCACGGGAAACAGGTGGTTAGTTTTCTGAGAGTACATTAGATCATAAATAAAACTAGTTTTTAAAAACACTAAGAACTGAGCTTTGTGAAAAATAAGATTTTTTAAATTTGCCTTGCATGTGAATTTAAAGTTATATATTTTAAAACAGAATTTGAAAAACATTGTAACTATGAAAAATGTCAATGGCATGGAATTTTGAGCTGGTGAGATCTTGGTGTATCCAATTTGCTTTTATGCTATTAATAGTTGTAAGATTAATGAATGTTGAAAACAATACAAATTTTCATATTATTTTTAGGGACGAAACATAGATCTTTCCCATGGTAGTGAATCTCAAACAATGAAGAAGTTTGATACTTCCATTTCATTTCCACCAGTAAATTTAGAAATTATAAAGAAGCAATTAAATACTAGGTAAGTAATATTCATTTTTAAATTTACATTTGTCTTAGACAATAGTAAAAAAATTAGCACTATATAGATAAAATATTTTTTAATTATTAAATATAAATATAAACAGATTTATAGGAAAAGTCACCTGTGTTACCTTTTTTGTATAATAGGTATATATTACATGGTTAAAATCAATAAGTATAGAATTCTGCTCTTTTTTTACTTAATGTTTTTATAAGTATCTGCATTGTTAAATAGCCTTTAATTTTAAAAAATAATATGTTGGGAGTGATGGCAGCAAGACGTCAGAATATGAAGCCCTAGACCTTATTCCCCCAAAGAGATACCAATTTAGCAACAATATGTTTTTAAAAGCCTTTATTAGAACTCTATAAACGAGTTCAGAAGTCACAGTACCCTAGGCAAGCTCAAAGTCAAGAATATCCACGTTGTAATGGGTAAGAAAAACCATTTCATTTCAACTGCATCAGCCTCTCCCACAAGCCAGCACTGCTTGTAATAGAGAGAAAAGGCCCAACTCATGGCTGTTCCATTGGAAAGGGAAAAGAAGAGTGGAACAGACATCCAACATTCTTGCTTTTGGGGGGTACTGCCCAAGGGACTAATTTCTGCCCCATTTATCTTGGATGCCTGGAGCCTGCAGATAACAAAGGAGAGCTCAGTGGCTTGTTGTAGAGCGAGAAAGGCTGCAGTACTATAGATAAACACCAGAGGGAGCAAAACACTACAGACTCTCCTGAAAGAGAAACCCACAAACCTCTCTAGTTGGGAAATTTCAGGTAGAAGCCCAGAGATGATGCGTCTCAAAAGGTTTGAGAAGATATTCATCCTCCCACCCCTGGAGAACCTCTAGCCAGTTGAAGTTACTCCCCTGTATGAAGTTATTTCCCATAAGTGTATTTTCAAATACACAAAACACAGCAAAAAAATAACCAAACACATGAATAAACAGGGAAACATGGCCCAATCAAAGGAACAATCTTCAGAACTAATCCTAAAAAAACAAATCTATGAGTTACCTGACAAAGAATTCAGAATAATCCTCCTAAGCTCAGTGTATTACAAGAGAACACAGAGAAGTAGATGAAATCAGGGAAACAATATATGAACAAAGACTATCAACAAAGAGATAGAAACTATAGAAGAGAACCAGAGATTCTGGAGTTGAAGAATACAGTAACTGAACTGAAAAACTCACTGGATGGGATCAACAGCAGACTTAATCAAGCAGAACAAAGAAGCAGTGACCTCAGAGACTGATCATTTGAAATTGTCAAGTCAAAGGAACATAAAAAAATGAAGAAAAGTGAAGAAAGTCTACGGGATTTAAGGACACCATCAGCATACACATTATGGGAGTCCAAGGAAAAGAGAGGCAGAATGGAGCAGAGAGCCTATGTCAAGATATAATGACCAGAAACTTAACAACCTGAGCAAGGAAGTGAACATCCAATTTCAGGAAGCTCAAAGGACTCCAATGAGATGAACCCAAAGACCTTTAACACTGAGATACATTATAATCAAACTTTCTAAAGGCAAACAATTTTGAAAGCCTCAAGACAAAAGCACCTCATCACCTACAAGGGAGCCCCATAAGATCACCAGCAGATTTCTCAACAGAAACATTATAGGCCAGAAGGGAGTAGGATGATGTATTCAAAGTTCTGAAACCAAGAAACTGCCAACAAATACTACATCAACAAAACTGTTCTTCAAATATGAAGGAGAAATAAGACCTTCTCTGATAAACAAAAGCTGAGGAAGTTCATCACCACTAGACCTGCCTTAGAAAAATTGCTAACAGAAGTCCTTCAAGTTGAAATGAAAGGACAGTACCACAGAGCATACAAAAGTATAAAGTTCTCTGGTAACGGTAAATGTTGGGTTGTCAGAAAAGTCATGATGTGTTTTTGCAACGAAAAGCATAGAAAAAATACGCCATGACTTTTCTGACAACCCAATATATAGACAAATACAGAATTCTGTAGTACTATAAGGGTGGTGTGAAAATATCGTTTAATTCAGATAAAGAATTTAAAAGATAAAAGCATAAAAAATAAATATAACACTGTGTTAATGGATATAAAATTTAAATATGTAATGTGGGACATGAATAATAATAAGTAGAGGGGGAGATGTAAAGGAGCAGTTTTTATATATAATTGATCGGTTTCCTAGATTACTAGAACTATAACATGTTTTTGTAATCCCCATGGTAAACAAGAAGAAAATACTTATAAGATATATACAAAAGAAAATGAGAAAAAACTCCAGAGCATACTAATACAAAAACAAAAACTCTACAAAACCCAAGTTAGCAAGACAAAGAGGGACAAAATAACTACAAAATAGATGTAAAACAATTTATAAAATGGCAATAGTAAGTTCTTCCGTATCAGTAATTAAATATAAATGGATTAAATTCTACAATCAAAAGACTTAGTGGCTGAATGGATTTGTTTTTTAAAAAAGATCTCATTTGCTTACATTAAAGAAGATCTCATATCAATAACCTAACTTTACATCTCAATAAACTAGAAGAAAAGGGACAAACTAAGTCTAAAGTTAACAGAAAGAAGGAATAAAGATTAGAGCAGAAATAAACAGAATAGAAAACAACTGACAAAAATCAACAAAACTAAGATTTTTAAAATCAATAAATTGACAAGCTCTTAGCTAGGGTAAGGCAGTAGGCTCAAATAACAAAAATTCGTAAGAAAGAGGAAACATTACAACTGCTGCCACAGAAATAAGGATCGGCAGAGACTACTATGAAAAACCAACAAACTAGATAACCAGGAAGAAGTTGATAAATTTCTAGAAATACAACCTACCAAGACTGATTCACTAAGAAATAAAAAATTTGAACAAACCTGTTATTACTAAGGAGATTGAATTAATAATCAAAAACCTACCAACAAAGGAAGCCCAGGACCAGATGGCCTCACTGGAGAATTCTACCAAACTTTTAAAGATGAATAAACACCATTCCTTCTCAAACCCTTCCCCAAAACCGAGGAGAATACTTCCAATCTCATTCTATGAGATAGGCATTACCCTGACCCTAGAATCCCAGACAAAGATACTACAAGAAAAGAAAATTATAGGCCATGAATATTGATGAATATTGATGCAAACATCCTCAGCAAAATACTAGCAAACCTAATTCAACACATTAAAAGGATTATACACTGTGACCAAGTGGGATTTATTCCTGGAATACAAGGATGATTCATATAAAAATCAATCTGTGATTCATGAACAAAATGAAGGACAAAAATCACATGATGATCTCAATGCGGAAAAAGCATTTGACAAAATTCAACACCCTTTAGTGATAAAAAATACTCAGCAAACTAGGAGTAGAAAGAAATAACCTGAACATAATAAAGGTTATATATGAGAAGCCAACAGCTAACACATACTTAGTGGTGAAAACTGAAAGTTTTCCGTTATCAGAAACAAGGCAAGGATGCCTCCCCTTGCCATTTTTATTCAACAGAGTATTGAAAGTCCTAGCCAGAGAATTCAGACAAGAAAAAAAATGCAAGGCATCAAAATATGAAAGGAAAATATAATCTCTGTTCACAGATGATGTGATCTTATATGTAGGAAACCGTAGAGACTACACACACAAAGACGAAAGAGGTAATTATAGAGCTAATAAAGTCAGCAGAATTTGCAGGATACAAAATCATCACACAAAAGTCAGTTTTATGCACTAAAAATTAAAAATCCAAAAAATATATTAAAACATTCTCATTTAGAATAGCATCAAAAAGAATAAAACTTAGAAATAAACTTAACAAGGAGGTGAAAGATTTGTATACTGAAAACTACAAAACATTGCTGAAAGAAATGGAAAACATACATAAATAGGGCTGTCTGAGTGGCTCGTTGGTTAAGAGTTGGCTTGGGAGTGCGAGCTCTGAGCAGTAGGGCCCCAGTTCAGATCCCACATGGGCCAGTGACACTGCGCCCTCTACAGCTAAGATGGTGAACAACAGCTCCAACTGGAGCTGGGCTGCCATCAGTCACCGGTGATGGTGTAGGCTGCAGTGGGCTGCCATAAGCTACTGTGAGTGGCCGGTAGCCAGCGTGAGCGGCTGGCAGCCAGCGAGAGCTGCCTTGAGCCGCCGTGAGTGGCCGTCCAGTGGCTGGCGACCAATCCGCCTCACTCAGGAAGAATGCAATGATCACAATACCAACATGGGCCAGTGAAGCGACGTACTCCATAACTAGACTGAAGCACAAATGGACAGCAACTTATCTGTTCCCCTTCCCCAGTTCCCCAACACTGTTCCCTCCCCCAGTTTCCCAATAAAGTCTTTAAAAAAAAAGAAAAGAAAGAAAACATACATAAATATCCAATGTTTATAGCTTAGAAGACAATATTGTTGAAATGTCCATATTACCCAAAGCAGTCTGTGGATGTAATGAATTCCCTACCAAAATCTTTGTGGCATTTTTTGCAGAAATAGAAAAAAAAGTTTTTTAATTTATATGGAATCTCAAAGGACCCAAGCCTGTTTTGGCTTGAATAACCAAAACAATTTGAAAAAGAAAAGCACAGGCAACAAAAGCAAAAATAGACAAGTGGGACTACAAACTAAAAAGCTTCTACCCCTCAAAGGAAGAAATCAACAGAGTGAAAAGGCAACCTACGGAATGGGAGAAAATATGTGTAAACAATGTATCTGACAAGAAGTTAATATATAAAATATATAATGAACTCATACAACTCAACAACAAAACAAGCCATCTGAAAAATGGGCAAAGGACTTAAATGGACATTTCTCAAAGAAGACGTGCTAGTAGCCAACAAACATGAAAAGATGGCTTAGCATCACTACTCAGGAAAATACAAATCAGAACCATAATGAGCTACCACCTCATACCCATCAGGATGACCACTGTGAAAAAACAAAATTAAAAAGAGTAGATTAAGAGCTTGCTCAAGAGTGCGAGCTCTGAGCAACAGGGTCACCAGTTCGATTCCCAGCCCAAGCTGAGCTGCCAACAGGTGGCAGGGTGGCTCAGCTAAAAAAAAAAAAGAGTAGAGAAAAGGGAACCCATTGTTGGTGGGAATGTAAAATGGTACAGCTGCTATGGAAAAGAGTATGGAAATTTCTCAAAAAACTTAAAATAGAACTACCATATGATCTAGCAATCCCACTTTTGGGTATATAGTGACAAGAATTGAAAACAATTGAAGAGAGATTTGTACAACCATGTTCATTGGAACCATTAGTTGCAGTAACTTAGAGGTAGCAACCTAATGTTCATCAACAGTTGAATAAAGAAAAGATGGTATTTACATACAATGGAATATTATTAGCCTGAAGAAGGAAACTCTGTCATGTGCTACAACATGGATAAACCTTGAGGATTAAATGAAATAAGCCAGTCACAAAGAGATAAATACTACATGATTCCACTTAGATGAGGTATCTAAAGTAGTTAAATGCTTAGAAACAAAGTCAAATAGTGTGGTTGCAGGGGTAAGAGGATGTGGGGAGAAAGGAAAAGAGCTAAAATTGCAGCAATTGCAATTGTTGATCAGTGAGTGTAGAGTTTCAGTTCTGCAAGATGAGAAAGTTCTGGAGATTTGTTACACAATAATGTGCATATAGTTAATACTGCTGTACTGTACTTAAAATCGTTAAGGTGGTAAATTCTGTTAAATGTTCTTAATTACAACAAAAAAATAATAAGCATAGTAGTAACATTTGTCTATCTATGTAGTTGACATAATTATTTGTTGGACATTTTGACTTCTAAATTTTCTATATTTTAGATAATGCTACAGGTAATGAACATTTCTGTAGGCCATTTAATCTGTTATATTATTTCTTAAAATAAATTTCCAGGGAAAATTGACCTTGGCAAAAGTTACACATATTTTTATGGCTCTTGATACAGATTACCTTTCTGAAGCACAGCTAACCTTTATTTTACTGCTATTAATAGCAACCTTTTTAAATAATATTAATCTCAATATAAATGATGTTTTTGCCAAAATATAAAGCAAACCCTGTGATAGGTTGTTTTAAATATATTTTCTGTTTTACTAAGGATCTAGTATACATCTTTAGATGTATGAAAGAATAAATATGATGGTAAGAGTCTAATTAGTTCTTATAATATTTGATACAAGAGAGAGTTTCTTCTGCCAGAGCAAGTATTTTTCAAGAACATTTTCATTACCTTTTTTTATACCTGGGAATAGGTTCAAAATTTTCTTCCCCTGTATCTTTTGTATAAATCAGCTTTAAAGTAGCTTCATACCTTTATCATACTGCAGCCAAAATGTCTTGGTCATAATTGTTCAATTAAATGGCTTGACTTAGAAAAGGGCATTTTGTAGCATTTTATAGTGAAATAAATATATGAAAATCTTCATCTGTACTAGTTTTTAAATATTAGGTTACTGCTGTATTCTAGGGGGTAGACAGACTACCAGCCCACTGCCTGTTTTTGTAAATAAAGTTTTACTAGAACACAGCCATGCTTATGCATTTATGTATTGTCTATGGCTGCTTTCTTTGCTATAGCACTGAATTGAGTTGTTGGAACAGCAACCATCTAGCCTCCAAAGCTTAAAATATTTACTATCTGCACCTTTACAGAAAAAGTTTTCTGACATCTGTTCTACATCATTCTTTTTTCAGTAGTGATGTTAAATGATGAGATTGCCTTGATTCAAGATTATTTTTGTGACAATTTCACTATTTACTGTCCTTTTGATATTCCTTCTTTACTTGAAAGAGCTAGAATTAACAGCTGTTGCATCTAGTATTGCATATAACTCAGCATTTATGCACAAGGGAAAGGTAGGAAAGGACTAAAACTACCCCATGATTAGCGTGAGCACCTGAAAACCTCTGAGTGTCCTTTCCTACCTTTCCCTTTGAGACCTCTTTCATTGTGATGCTCTCCTTTGCACAGCAAGTCTCAGAAGCCCAGGCTTATGTGATTGTCAGCTTCCTTGGTGGTCTCTCTAAGGTAACGTTGAGAAATCTTTTATCATACTGTTACATACTATAGTAGAAGTAAAAGTTTGAAAAATAAATCAATTTTTATTTTTTATTTTATTTAAATAGATTAACATTATTACAGGATACTCACCGTTCACACCTAAGGGAATATGAAAAATATATACAAGATGTTAAGAGCTCGAAGAGTACCATCCAGAACCTAGAGAATTCATCAAATCAAGCCCTAAATTTTAAATTCTACAAAAGCATGAAAATTTATGTGGAAAATTTAACTGACTGTCTTAATGAAAAGGTACATGGCAATGAATATTTACACTTCCTTTTTATGCATAAATTCCTTACCATGTGATTTACGAAAAGCCTAAACCTTATAACTACCGTATTTCCCTATGTATAAGACACACCCTTTTTCAAAAACTTTGGGGTGTAAAAACTGGGTGTGTCTTACACAGTGGTTGTAGATTTCAAATGCCATAGATGGAACTGAGGATGAGGCAATATATGAAGACAGTGATTCGTCATCAGACACAGATGAGGACAAGCTAGTGGTTGAGAGTTTTGACAGTGATGAGGAGTTGTATGAATTTTATGATTAATAAAACTTGACTTCAATAACTTTATGTAATACAGTTTTTTTCAAATTTCGGGCCCCAAAATTAAGGTGTGTCTCATACATGGGAACATCTTATACATGGGGAAATACGATAAATACTTTCAAATAGTGGTTTTCCTATATGTTTTTGATACATTGTGATATTAAGCATTCCCCTAATGTTGGCTAGTTAAGGTATTAGAAAGTTTTGTATATAAATTTTTGTGTTAAAATTTCATCTGTTTAAGAAAAATTCCTAGAAGGTGAATTATTAAGTCAAAAGCTCTAAATATTTTTAAGCCTTATGAAACATTGCTAAACTATCCTCCAGAAAGATTTTCTTATTTTTAGTTTACTACATTAAAAATAGTTTTTGTGGGGGCTGGCCGAGTGGCTTAATTGGTTGAACGCAAGCTCTGAGCATCAGGGTCACTGGTTGGATTCCCACATGGGCTAGTGAGCTGCGCCTGAGCTGAGCTGCCAAAAGGTGGCAGAATGCCTCAGCTGGTGAGAGCACGTGCTCCTAACAACAAGGTTGCCAGTTTGAATCTCGCATGGGTTGGTGGGCTGTGCCCACCTGCAACTAAGATTGAATGCCGCACCTTGAGCTGAGTGGCCACGAGCTGCTGACAGGCGGCCAGATGGTGACTGGACTTCGAGCTGAACTAGCTGTACCCTCCACAACTAAAATGAAGGACAACAACTTGGTTGTTCGCTTTCCCCAATTCCCCAATAAAACCTTTAAAAAAAAAAATTTTTTTTTTAATTAAAAGAAATAAAATAAAAAGTTTTCATTTTTATATATTTTGATCTCAGGCAAACCTTTTGCTTTATTAACACATGTATTTTTTCTCAGGAATTATTTGTCTCCTTTGCCGTGTTATTTTTTTGATTCACAGTGGGAATTTTTTTTTCTTTTTTTTTTTTTCCATACATTATGAACAATTCTTTATTGCTTAAAATTTTTAATGATTTATCCTATTTGATGTAGATCAACTTTCCAGCTTGTTTTGTCTTTGGGTTTTGTTTGCAGTGGTTTTTTGATATCCAGATGTCTTGAAATCTTTGTGTTAATCAGATTTATGAATCATTTTTTTCCTCTTTATGGTTTCTGTTTTTGTTTTCCACATACTAAGTTTTGTTTACACATACTTGGACTCTTGTCTCTTTTTTAACCATTTTTAATCATGTGTATTCTACTTTTTGTATTACTTTTTATTTACTATTGTTGACTGTCTTTTTTCTTTTTTTAAATTTTTTTTATTGTGGAAGAGCCATGATATTGGTTACACATCGCTTTCATGCTACAATGGCATAGTTAACTCCTTTAGGGAGGGCACAGCTCGCAGTGGCCTATGCAGGTATCGAACTGGCAACCTTGGTGTTCTCAGCACCACGCTCTAACCGAGCTAACTGGTTACCCCAAAGTTGACTGTCTTTTAATATCACTAGGTAGTACTTCCTGAAGTATTAATTACAGTGTAACTTTCTTCATTCATCCTTGAGGGATTACACTGTTAGTCTTCTCAGTTTACACATTGATGTAGCTCTAGCAGCAGCTATGGAACATCACTGGAGTGGGGGAAGTGACCCAAGAATGTAAGAATGCCAATTTCAATTGCACTCAGTTCCACGTCATAGTTTTCTTCTCTGTCTAGTTAGGTCTCTTCCGTTCTCCCTTTTTTATATTTTTATCAGTTTCCTCAGTGCTCGCCCACAATCTGACCACTCAGCCTATAAAAACTGGCTGCACCCATCATTTCCTCCTCATCTTCTATCTCAAATGAAGAAGAATCCTTCGTATCTGTCCACTCTTACCCATGTTCCTGACTCCAGCCCATTTGGTTTCATTGTTTATATTTATAGCTGTTTTAGTACAGTAAGTTGATAGGTTGATTTTCCTGGTTTTATTAATATTAAAAGTATTGGCAGCTAGGTCTGTTCCTCACAGTTTTTTAACTGACAATGATAATGAATAAGATAATGAATATGTTCCTTTATATGAGCATTGAACATATACATATGCTAATACATAAATATAACATTTTATTATTCAGTATTAATGACCCAAAAAATGTTACTTATATGTGTATTGCAGATTATCAGCATCCAAGAAATAGAATCATCCATGCATGCACTCCTTTTAAAACAAGCCATGACCTTTTTGAAACGCAGGCAAGATGAATTAAAACATGAATCAACGTATTTACAACAGTTATCACGTTAGTGTTTTTCATGTTCAATATGATTTATTCATTTAGCTAAATTATTAGCTGAAGAATAAAAATATTTTTATTCCTGTATAAAAAATGCTTTCTGTGTATTGTCCCACTGGTCTTTCACCCACCCCCTTCCAACAAAACCCCCAAAACATTTAGAATTAGAGCTTCAAAATGTCTTAAATTATGTCTAAGACTAAAAAATAAATATTGTAAGAGCTCGCTCAAGAGTGTGAGCTCTGAGCAACAGCGGTTCGAGTCCGGCCCAAGCTGAGCTGCTGCTGAGCTGCCAACAGGTGGCAGGATGGCTCAGCTAAAAAAATAAAATAAAATATTATAATTCCGAATGACTTAGTATTTGAGACAATACATTTATATGGCCTTTTAATGACTGTTTTTAGATGAGTTGACATAAATCTATATAGACTTTATCAGAAATCTAACTTTATAAAGTTTTCACGGCCCTTCCACAGATTGGTTGTGGAGGTTAAAGAAATTTTGATTGGCTTCAGTATAGAATTATCTGTAAGATTTCATTACATAAAATGAGGATGCTACCTTTTAGTTCTCAGTCTAGTTTTGTATTTTCAGAGATGTCTTCCTTTAATTAAGGTGCCGTCGGGGGATAGTGACCGTAAGCAAGCAGCAGATTATAGCAAAAGCAAAATGACTTTCAAACATATGACGTTTAGTTGGTCATGCATTATGGCACATACTAAAATAGGAAATAATGTGAATGGCATATTGATAATGCAAATATTTCTAGCATTTGGCTTTAGGGACGGAAAAAACTAGTGAAAACTGCTAAAAAAGAATATGAAGGGGAAAAAACTTTATAGGAGAATTTTATTACTCTTCTAAAATGCTCAACTATATTCCCCAGCCAGAGTACATTTTCTTAGGCTTGCAAACTCAGTGCTTATTAATACCATGATGGAAGTTAACCTTGCAATTTCATTGCATGATGAAATATGGAATTTAAGCATATTGTATGTGTGTTGATGTCTGTGTGTGTGTGTGTGTGTGTGTGTGTGTGTGTGGTGTGTGTGTGTGTGTATATGTATACCCAAGATATAATTTTTATTTTCAAAGTGTTTTACTTTATTTCTTTTGGGAACAGGCAAAGCTGAGACATCAACAAATGGAAGCTTGGCTATAGATGAAAAAACTCAATGGATTTTAGAAGAGATTGAATCTCGAAGGTAGCTATATAAAGTGAAGACTTAAAAGTGTCATTGAGCAAGTATTTTTCAGTACTTACATATAATTAACCATATGGTATAATGTAACCATTACCTAACAGATTAATTTGTGAGAATGATATAAAACCAAAATTTAGTTAAGCATTCTTAACTAAATTTATTTAAACCCTCAGCCCACGATTTAAAGACACACTGGTGTATTTGAATCAGTCAGAAGGAATGGGTAAAATGGCATTTATCAGGCTGGGAATTGCTGCTAAGTAGAAGCCAGTCCTAATAATATCGTTGCCCACTCATCAAAATCTGGGTAGCCTATGGGAATGTCCTAAATGGCAATGTGTTATAAGAAAAAAAGGGAAAACCACCAATTCAGATTAATGAAGTTAAAATGTCAAAAATATGAACATAAAATTGTGTGCTAATATGATGCTATATTTCTGAGCATTTTAAATAAACTGTGACTTCTACTTTTTGTTTTAAAGCATTTACTTTCATCACGCACTACTTGTTTTTAATTGATTTTTGGTTTATTGCAAAATACAGGGCACGAAGAAGACAAGCAAGGGAGCTTTCTGGGAATTGTGATCATCAGGAAGGGACATCTAGTGATGATGAACTATCTTCATCAGACACGACTGACTTCCAAAAAAGCCAAGGTTAATCATCAAATTTCTAATGTGTCTTGATTTGAAACATTGAAATGGTGGGAAATGCTTTGCAGTGATTGACCTTAAATACATAAGCTGTATAAAATAGTTGGGAAAATTCAGGAAAAAAGGAATACATTTTTTTAATCTTCTTTAATACTTTTCCTTCCTCTGAAAAAATGGGATAAAATTGAGGAGCATTGTGAGTATTATTGTCATCTTTATAGTTTTTTTTCCTCAGCCTTTCTCATCTGTTACAAAGGAACCATGAACATTTTTGGTTTCATTTCTCCACTACATACTTTCTGTATTGTCATTTTTTATTTAAAATAATTGA